TTTTTTTTCATTTGCAGTTAGCGCACTTCGATCTCTTTGCAAGTCATTCATTTTGAAATAAAACAATCGATTTTTTGCAAGAAATTTAAAGTTTGTAACCACTCTTACCTTTTATATCATTTGTACATCTATATGACTTGATTGTCAAGTTTTTTATCAGAAGAGAAAGTCAGGTGATGATCTTCGCGTATCTACGTTTTTGCACCGGACCATAGTAAGAATATAGCACAATAGTTGGGCAAACGTAGCATGATAGAAATGAACGTAGTATGATAGTTAGGACGAGCACAATAGTTAAACAAATGTAGTATAATAGTTGGGACAAGTATGATAGTTGGACAAACATAGTACGATATATAGGATACACATAGCATGATAGTTGGAGCATGGCAATAGTTAAAATAATATGATAGTTGGGCGAATGTAGCATGATAGTAAAAACGAACATAGCATAATAGCTGGAATTGATGTAGTATGATTGTTAAATAGATTCAGAATAAATATAGCATAATAGTTAGAGAAAACGTAATATGATAGGAAAAACATAGCACAATAGTTGGAGTATTGTATAGCATGATAATAGTATGATAATTTGGAATAAACGTAAGAATGATAAGTAAATTTGAAATGAATATAAGAATGATAGATAGATTCAGAGTGAATATAGCATGAGAGTTAGGCATAAAAACTAGTTTTTATAGTAGTTAGCATTAGATTCTTAATATTGTATTATATAGTACTGTAGTATATAGTTAGATTTTAAATGTAGATTATAGCATTAGATTCTTAATAAATAAAAAACAAAATTAATTTAAATAAAATTGAGTGAAAGTAAAAAAATTTTTTTATTTAATAACCAATTTTTGATTTGATTGGGTCTATTTTTAAATATTTAAATACTAGAAACTGTAAGTCTGGAACATAAATATTAAAATTATATTAAAACCAATTAAAAAAATAATTTATAATTCGTAGTTGTATATACAATAGTAAAGATTAGTATTATTGGTAAGAATTCATACATATATATATTCGCATTCATAAAAGCAGACAGACAGATCAAACTGTCATAAAAACTGAGCATCCTAAACATTAATATTTAATGCTTATATTCCAATAGTTATTGTCAATTGTGCATTTGGTTAAACTTATTAATTTTAAAAAAATAACATCTAAACTTAACAATTTATTGATACAATTACATATGTAGATAACCTTTATTGACTTAATCACTTGCTAACTAGTACAGTTAAATAATTTACCAATATAATAATATAATAAATTATAGAGCCATCAATTATTAATAGGTAGAATATATACTCATAGAGTATAAAAAAAACCAAAACCAACTACAGAAACATTGTGTATAACTCTATACTATTCTATATTTTATATACTATAACTCTTAAAACTTGATTGAATAATCTATAATCAGAAAAAATATAAAAAAAAACAACTATTAGCAATACTGTTTGAACTTATTATTTGTAAAATAATAAGTTAAAAAAAGTATAATAATACTTATTAGCCAAAGTGTAGTTTACTTCACCAATTACTAAATTGCTTTAGTCTATATGACAAAAGTATACTTCGTAGCTAACTTCCAAATTACTTCTCTGTTCTCAGAAGTGTTTTTACTGTATGAAGTGTCAGTTAAAGTCAGATAATATATGCAGTGTATATGTAACTATATATTAAATCTCTTTATGCTAGACAATTAGCCAATCTTCTTGTAGCATGTGGAATAATCTGGAAAAAAATCCAGAACAATCTGACAGATGATCATCACCAAATAAGGTGCGATCTACAATAACCAAATATGGTATAATCCCAGACTGAAATATTATAATTTAAATAATAAATAAAAATACAAAAATTAAAAGCTATTTTTTTTTAATTAATTGATTAAACCTAGAATAAAGAGAATTATTTTTATCTAATTTATCTACTTTACCTAAACCAATATCAATTTTTGCTTTTTTAATTACTAACAAATCTTCACCAATATCAAGAATATTATCTTCAAATAAATCATTTTTATTAACTAAATATTCCTCAGATTTATGAATACATTTACTATTATTGTTTAACTCTTGATGATTTGTCTAAATAGTAGATTGAATATTATCAATAATATTGACTTCTTTGATTGCTCTGAATTTTTCTTTCTTTTGCTTATAGGTATAATCAGAATCATCTGAATAAAAATCTAATAATTCAGAATCTAATTCACTAAAAATTTTAGAGTATTGATAGTTGTTTTGTGTTAAAAATTCAATTTGAGGATCTGATTCATAATCCATTTCAATACCATTATCTGATTCAACTGTTGTATAGAAATTTGATCTGATCAGATTTAGAATTATAAAGTAATTTAATTTTTTTACATCATTATTTCTTAAAGAAAATATTAATTTTCTTTTTCCAGGCTCAGATTTTGGAATATTTGTTATTATTTGATTGTGATGGCATCAAGATCTTCTATTATCAAATATTCATTAATTTTATTTTCTCAAATTTTCTCTAATAATAATATCCAGTTTTTTTTATCTTGGTATATTTCACCTTTAATATTTAAATCTACTGTGATTGTTTTTACTTGTTCCAGAGTTGTATTTTTATTAAACTCTATATCAAAAATTTGATTACAGTATACTTTCTCAAATCTGGTATGCATAGTAGACAGCTTTGTATTGGTTTTGGGAGGTTATTGGATTTAAAATACTAATAGACTGCTGGTCACATAATTATAAATATATATAATTGGCTGGATTATATTTATTACATATATAATCTGTTACACAAAACCTGATCAGAGCCAATTAAATTGATTTATGTTATTTGCCAAATCCAATATCTTAATGATATCAGTTATTAGAAATAGCAGGTTATCAGATTTTAATTATGGAACAGACATGGTAGATTAATTTTTTATTAGTTATAGCAAGTTATTGATTTTGACAAAATCAGTTTTGGAAGGGTGTACTATATTAAAATCTTGCTTATTTCCTTTTTCAAAAATATGTATGATATTACCTTTTCCAACATGTGGATCAATTGGTTCTCCTTTAAATTTAATAATAAAGTGAACATGCCTTTTGAAGACATCAATATCAATTGAAGAATTATAATCTCAAAGTTTTGTATAAAGATTTTTAATTGGTCTATTAGTAGTTATACATATTTACATTGTAACAATATTTGCTTTACTATATTTTACATTTATTTAACAATGTTTTCTATCTGTTAATTTTAACAAATTGGTTCAACTTAAATAATTGCTATAAAAATCATCTAATAAAATAGCTATATTACAATTATAATCAAAGTTTTCATTGTTATAACCTTCAAATTGTTTAAAATTATCTTTTTTATATATTTCAGAAAATAAATCAGCACAAAAATTACTTTTTCCTGTCCTTTGTCTCTATATAATGCAAAGTTCCCAATATCACAAGATATTTTGTAAAGGATTTGTATTTTCAGTTTGGAATACTTCAGCAAGAATCTTCATTTTTTGAGGTAAATAAGATCACTTTTTATATCTTGAAGAATATTTTTTAAAAATTGTAATTAAATTTTTTTCTTTTTCTTTTTTTGAGTTCATCAATAGCCTTATTATAAGCACTATAATCATAATTTTGTTTAGACTTGGGCTTATTTGTTTTAGACTCACTTTTTTCAATTTTTTTCAAATTTTGTTTTATCAAATATAAATATAAATGGTCTAGAATTTTTTTATTGGTGCAATTTGCAAAAGTTCGATATTGCCAACAATCTTTATTACAAAGTTTACAATTTGAATAATTATAATGATTAAACAAATCACATTTATAACATTTTCCTTTGATTGGTTGATAATATAGAAAACATCAATTTCAATCTTTAGCTATATATACTAAATATTTTTCATCAGTACTATTAGCAAAATCAATTTAAAAATTTCCTTAATTTCTGATCCTTTTTTTGTATTAGAATTATAATTTTCAAGACATAACTGTCTTTCTTTATATACTTTAGCAAATTTCTGAATATGATTTTTTTTGTTTTTTTGAATTATGATTTACTTCAAACTGAAATTGTAATTTTTCAAATTTACAAGTTTTTGTATTAAAAATATTACTAACAAGTGTATAAAAAGTATTGAGATATTCATATAATATAAAATTAAACTTTCTATTTTTTTTCTCTATTAAAGTGACTTTTACGTCAATGATTTATTATTAGAATATTATATTGTTACAATTGTAATGAAAGTATATCACACCACACATACACTTTTGGTGTCTAATTTAAGTAGTCTGCCCAAAGCAGTTGTGCTATGCTAAGGGTTCTACACTATCTGCTGTACTTGTAACCCAACTATAAAATTACTCATTTAAACTTTCTGATCACAATTTTTACAAATCTTTTACTCTAACCTGGGTGTAACCTCATAACTTAAAAACCAGTTGATCTATGTGACACTACTAGATTAATAGCCATCTTAGGACTACTTTATCCATAAAATAAATCTGACAATATATATCATGTTTTACACATAAAAGCACTTGCTCATTTGGTAATTTCTTCCCAAATTAGTATATATTGTCTGCTGCTATTGTGTTTGTATCTCATGCTACCTTTTGGTGCAGCTATAACACAATCCATATCTCAAGCCCAACCTTCCTAATTTAGTTCTCCATTACCTACTTCTACCCTTTATAAGGTTCACAGACCCCAGTACCCCATTCTGTTACTTTTCGCACCTTACTTTATTTAGTTTCATTGGTCTTCTAATCCAAATGATCTGGAAGGATTGGTCTGCCCAGACCCAAGTTTCCCAGGCTCAGGTCTGAAAGTTGCCCAATCCTTGGACCATGTTTTCATAGTATATGACCTTTTCCTCCAGGGTTTCATTCTAGGATCTTACCCCTAGTCATACTACTGAAGTAGCCAAGGAATGCACAACTAAAGTGGCTCTAGTAACCCTGGTGGTCTGGTTGGTGGATCCCTTTTGCCCAAAAGATTGACAATTCCTCTGATTATATTTGGTTTTCTCGAATCACGCTGTGCTAATCAAATAAAACTTTAAAATTTTATTTAGGTATACATATAAGCTTTATAAAAAACCTGACCTTCACTTTGAAAAAATGTACTCAGTTCGTTCACATTTTGATGATTGATTGATATAGAAACATTACTATTCTACCATATCAATAATGGAGAATTTTGTAAATTCTCTTTACTTGCTTATTATTCAAAGTTTTATATTTATTACAGTTTGCCAATCCACAATATAAACAAGCTAGCACCTTAGTAAATACCAAATTTTTTTTTTTTTGGTGGTAATACTAAAAAACCAAATTATACAAATGAAGTGGCATATTTTGATTTATCTACACCATTGGATACGACCAGGCCTCAATGGGTTAAAAGTCCTATGGGAATTCCATCAAAAGAATATCTTGCCACATCATGTCTTAATTCTATAGATAAATCAACAGTTTACTTAATTGGTGGACACTCTCTCAACCAAACAAACTAAAAAAACAAAAATCCTTCATTAGCATACGCATTTAATTCTATAACTTCAAAATCGACTACAATAAATGCTACTAAGTTTTATAATTATTCTGCCTTGATTCATATACAAGTCATTATTAATGATGATGGAAATATATTTTTATTTGGCGAAAAAGAAGTATATTATATTGTGGGAACTACTAATTATAACCATATCTTAATCAAATGAATGTGCCTGATACCAAAACACTAACTTGGTCATCATTGATTATTATTAATAATGTTCCAATACCTCGCGTGGTTTATACTGCTACACTGTTGAATAATAGTCTTATAGTTTACATCGGAGGTTTGGTATCGCTACCACTGATGTTAATACTTTTTTTTTAATTTATTAATGAATTCAGAAGAAGGACCTTAGTTAAAACAAAATATTACTTAATTAAATATATTAAATAAATACAGAATTACTGTTACGTATTACAGAATTAATGTTTAATTAATATAAGGGGAAGTCAATAGAAAGGAAAAAATTGTTTCTATGTAAAAGTTTTAACTTTTAAGCTATTGTATTAATTAGCTAACGGTCAATAAGTCATTTTCAATAAAATTTTTATTAGAAGGACCATTAGAACCAACATATGCAGTTATACAACCTATAATATCCTTTGATAGATCGATATCAACCATGTTCACAACTAAAACTTGAATAGAGTATTTACTTGGTAAATCAGCTGGTGCCTCAAGTATGGGATTTGCATTAAATGAACTTCCAGCTTTAGTTTGAGGGGCAGTGAAGTTATAAAGATCTCTATGATGTCATCATTAGCATTAAAAAAACCAATAAAAATCAGCCCTCCATCTGGAATATCATGACTTAATTTTCCGGAAACACTAAAAGTAACATCTTGTCCAGAAATCACTGGATCAGGAGAAATGCTTGCATCGATTGCATCTATAAGGCTTCCATCTTTAAGCGTACAATTTGTTGAAAATTCAGTGGTTCTTTTCTCAAGTGGAATAGCATTGGTAACGGAAAGTGCAATCAATAAAATAAATGTAAAAATTAAATTTCTATTCATTATTTGTTAATTATAAGTTATATGAAATTTGGGATATTTAGCTGAGGTAATTTATTTTTTAATTATAGAAAATCGGCTTCAGTCGTTACCTTTTTATAAGAATTTTCATCAGAAAAACTTTATGCATGCTACATACAGTCTCCATGTTAAATCATGCCAAATTCGCGTCAAATCACCGGTGGTGATCATCACCACCACCCTATAGGGTAGGGAGCAGTTTAGGAGTTTTTTATATAATATAACATAACATAGATTAGATATAAGGTCCCGATTTCAGTTCTCGTGAGGTTTTCAGGGGTCATGAACATTTTTACTTAGAGTATCCTACGTAGTACATTTTTGAGATATAAGCACCCCGGTGATGATCACTACCGGTTTTTCTATTTAATATATATCATCATTTATTATTACAGCTGTTTTCATAATTCTGGGACACCCTAAAAAAATTTGCCGAAGTCGATAAGTTATTGATTTCGGTATGATCAGTATAATAAAATAATTAAGAAAAGCTATTTTTGGATCATAA